TTAATTATATACATTTTATTTATTAATTGATTGTGTTTTAATCATTTTTAAAACATACAGTTAAAACAATATTGACAATAAACAGAGAATTATTTTTGTTGAGTAGAATTAAATAACATTTTAACTCAAATCATTAATTAAATAAATAATATAATTGAAAAAATATATAAGACAGCATTAATAGATAATAACATAATTTTTCAGAGTATTGTTCTTAAAACGTTATTTGAATAACACACAATAAACAAAAGAACAATATTTGAAAAATCTTTATATTATTCAAAGAAAATTGTTTATGTTCTGTTTTAACATTTAAAATTTATCACTGGTATTTAATTTTGAGACGATATTTTATATTTTAAGATGTTTAAACGTTTTATGATATGTGTAATGAAATGCAACATTTATTTTATATGTTACAATTGATATTATTTTGTCACTAGCTTATAGCTTGAATATATATATATTTCAATTTAAGACAAATAAAAAATTGTTATAAAATATTTGTATCTTTGATTAAAACATAATTTGTAAAATACATATATTAGAGATATTTTATTATTAAGGTTATTCGAAAATGTTCAAAAGCTATATTAAAAACAAGTTCAACTAATTTTTAAAATGGCCTATGATAGTCAATCAACTGTCAATTTTAGTATTGATTGTAATTAATTTTTTAAATACTAATTATAATAAGTTGATGTATTTGGAAAATCATCTAATGTGTTTGACAAAATATAGCAACAATATTTATACATAATCAAATTTATTGCAGTTTTTTTATATTTTTTTGTTTAATAAGAAATAATGTTTGGTGTAAATTTTTAAATGATCAAACAAAATAAAAATATCATGTTTGTTTATTTTTCCAAGTTGTTATAAATAATTAAATAATTTTATACATAATATCAATTTAATTGTTTACAATTACACAATAAAGTAAAGTTTAGGATTTGAAAATCAGAATATATTGGTGTAGTTTGAATGATGTAATTTATTTGAACAATACAGTTTTTTGATATTATAAAAATATTTTTAATTCTATTTGTATTTTAAAATTACATTTTATTTTTTTAGCTTACAGATATTTATTACAATCTACTTGTTATATTTAACAATATACCACTGATTGTATTAATTATTTCATTTAATTAAAACTAATGATCAATCTTACCTTTTATTTAAGAATTACATTTAATTTTTAATAAATTAAATTCGGGCACCCCAAAACTTTAGTAAAAATATATTTTTAATCGTTTTTTTGAATTTTGAATTTACATACAATAAAGTTTTAATAAATTTTGAGGGATAGAAAGATTAATTATTGTTAATTCTCAAAGAAAAAATGTTATGTGTTATATTTACAGTCAAAAACGTCTATTTGTCGTGAATCCAACAATAAAACTTATCTATTTGTTGTAAATGAGTGAATTTTGAGAAAATTCTTTTTAATATTGTTTTTATTATTATTAAAAAAGTGTTTTCAATTCAACAAAAGTTACATGTTCAAGAACAAAATATTCAATTGTCGTACACTCAAATGATTGGCTATCTGTGCAACAAATAAGCAAGTTCAATATTTATATTTACGACATTTAGACGCTTTGACTGTACATTGATTTTATTCTATTGTTTATTAATATATATAATAATAAACATTATTTCTTCCCCTATGATTATATAACATTATGATTACTTGTGTGGTTATTTAATTTCATTAAACAGTTATATTTGAATTTGTTGTTTTTTGTTATAACTTATTTTTGAATAAACTTGTTTATTATCAATACCAATTTGAATTGTATATATATAATAAAGGGGTGTTATATATATATATTTGTATTTGATCCAACAAATTTTAACTGAAGTTGTATTTTTACTCTATAAGTAAATATAATTAAATTTAACACAATATTTATTTTTTATCTGAGTCGGATGTGGTTTTTAAATATAAAACCATATTAAGAATGTCTTTATTATTTTTTTAAAAGATCAATAAATAATAATCAACAAGTATATAAAGTTTAATAGGGTCTTTTTTTAAAAAAATGTTGTGATAAAAAAAATTGACAAGTCAAATACACACAATTAAGTTGTTATTGTCAATGTTTTGAAAAAGTTTGAAAATGTATGACAACAATATTACAAATAATAGATATAGTGTTGTTTTTTATTATTAATAATTTATAACTATTTTTTAACCAACAGAACACCATATTAATACATATTTAGACAAACCTAAATTTCAAAACATCAAGTTTCAAATTGTGTAATGATAATTTATAAACAAATTATACTTTGATTTTGTTTTTGATCTTTTATTACTTAATTTAAAAAGCCTTTTTAAATCATATACACATTATAATTCTTATATGTACACTTACTTATTCCTTGTTAATATTTATGTTTTGAATATTCAATGATTAAAAATGAATCTAAAAACAACAAACATTGATCAAATTGTGAGATAATGACAGTTTATTCATTAATTGCTTTAGTTGATGTAATACAGCATTTTTATTTTGTGTGATAAATAATCAATAATTTAATTTATTTTATTCAACAACAATTGATATTTTTTGTAAACTTTAATGTGTTAATTTGTTTTTATATGCCAAAATATCATTAAAAATTGTTTTTTTTTCTAAAAACAAAACTTTACACAAGAGAAAGTATAAAATATTTACCAGAATTAGAGCACACAAACATATTCAAATGTATTGGTTTTTTCCAATAATTTGAAAAGACCGAATTATT